ATTAAGATACAAAAGAGAGAAGAGCAAAGTGGATGAGCAAGTGCCACATCTTCCCGAGGACGGAAGAGTCCGGCAGGCAGTCTCCCCAGGCTGGCGCTGCGCCTACGTGACTGGCGTCGTCACGCACCTACGTGACTGGCGTCGTCACGCACCTACGTGACTGGCGTCGTCACGCACCTACGTGACTGGCGTCGTCACGCACCTACGTGACTGGCGTCGTCACGCACCTACGTGACTGGCGTCGTCACGCACCTACGTGACTGGCGTCGTCACGCACCTACGTGACTGGCGTCGTCACGCACCTACGTGACTGGCGTCGTCACGCACCTACGTGACTGGCGTCGTCACGCACCTACGTGACTGGCGTCGTCACGCACCTACGTGACTGGCGTCGTCACGCACCTACGTGACTGGCGTCGTCACGCACCTACGTGACTGGCGTCGTCACGCACCTACGTGACTGGCGTCGTCACGCACCTACGTGACTGGCGTCGTCACGCACCTACGTGACTGGCGTCGTCACGCACCTACGTGACTGGCGTCGTCACGCACCTACGTGACTGGCGTCGTCACGCACCTACGTGACTGGCGTCGTCACGCACCTACGTGACTGGCGTCGTCACGCACCTACGTGACTGGCGTCGTCACGCACCTACGTGACTGGCGTCGTCACGCACCTACGTGACTGGCGTCGTCACGCACCTACGTGACTGGCGTCGTCACGCACCTACGTGACTGGCGTCGTCACGCACCTACGTGACTGGCGTCGTCACGCACCTACGTGACTGGCGTCGTCACGCACCTACGTGACTGGCGTCGTCACGCACCTACGTGACTGGCGTCGTCACGCACCTACGTGACTGGCGTCGTCACGCACCTACGTGACTGGCGTCGTCACGCACCTACGTGACTGGCGTCGTCACGCACCTACGTGACTGGCGTCGTCACGCACCTACGTGACTGGCGTCGTCACGCACCTACGTGACTGGCGTCGTCACGCACCTACGTGACTGGCGTCGTCACACAAACTGACCTACACTCTCTCCCTCGGACCGGGTTCGCCCTCCCCCGGCGAGCGTTAACCAGATGTAACGTTAGTGGGTTAATCTGGTACAGCCCCCAGCAATTCCGTTCACACAGTGGGGTGTTTTCCCATTGCGATGGGAATAATTTTCAGGACGGTTTCCGGTGTGTCCCAAGGAGCTTCCTCATTAGCCTCCGTGTCATAGAAAAGTCACCGGGATGTGCTAAATGTACAGGAAGAAAGCCTGGCGTTTGGGAAAATACACCATTCTGAATCCATCCTGGGGACATTCTTGTGTTTTCTGTCTTATCTATCGTGGGATTTCTGGCAAGCAAAACCCCAGAGACCACTAAGAGAAGAACGCCACCTTCTCCTGAGACCTGTACCACGGACAGGACCTGGTACTGAGGGTGGCAGTGCCTCTCTATGAGTCTCCTATTTGGGGTCTCCCAGCTAGACTACCTCTGCGCCGGCATCGCAAATGAGCTTGGTGGCAACTGTGGGTGTCCCTCTTTGCCTCCTCCTTCAGATAGGCGCTTGAATAATTGGTCCCCAGAGCCAGGAGCAGACAGACCTGCATGCAAGGACATGTCCTTCTCTAGCGGCTGCGTAGCTGAGTCTCTTTCAGGCAAATGACTAAACAGCCAAAAATGAGCTGCTCTGAAAAGCCATCAAGGAGGTTGCTGATCATAATTCATTTCTGCCTGTTCTTATCAGCCTCGTGTCCCACTTCAGTCAGTTTTATTCGATTTCCTCCTTAGGAAGTGTCTAATTACTCCCTCTTTGTGTATATGATTTTAAAAACAAAGTATATAAAAAATGCATGAGCTGGGCCTGGGGATTCTGATCTCTTAGACTCCAGTGTTTCATTCAGAATGATCGGGGCTTCTTCATGGCTGACTGGTTTTTTCCCTTTGTGCAATATAGATCTGAATAATCAGAAACAAGACTTGCACAGGGAAGTGGTATATCTTGTATTTGTGGGTGGTTCTCTTTTCCCCCTCCTCTTGCTGGAAACCTCCCCAGAAAAATCCTACCCTCGTTCTGAAAGCCTACCTACAGGTCGCAGATTGAGAGCCACCTCCAGAAAGTTTCACAAGTATCTGGCTAATGCGTGTGGGGGCCGGTAGCCGAGTTCTGGGTATGTCCAAACACTGGGGCTTCCTGGGGGGACAGGGAAAGCTCAGTAGTGGAGTGGTGGCTGTCCCTTGAGCTGAATGACTATGGACAAACACACAGAGAGGGAGGGGGCTCAGCTCGAGGCTCAGAGGGCCTGACTGCACAGTTCAACCCTCCAGCATCCAGAATGAAGATGGGGTTTTATTACAGCTTCTGCTAAGGAAGCACCAGCGCCATGTCCGAGGCTGGCTCTTCTTTGCTTTGGACTTACAAAAAGGGATGACAGGGACAAGAGTTTTCTGTGTGGCCTCAAGACGTGTTTTTCAAGGCAGAGACATATTTCAAGAAAGAAAAGAAAACCCACAAGGTACACGATACCACTTCCCTACCCGATTTCTTTTACTTCTATTTTCTTTTCATTATAAATCCTTTTTAGCACTGGGGCTACAAATTCTGAGTCAGCTCTGGGTTATTTAGTCTCCAGTCCAGGGGGAATTCCAGGCCCCTGCTTTTCCTCCACTGGGCACCTCTGCCTTGGTTTTAACCTTTTCAGTGCCGACTAGCAGGCCTGAAGAAGGCAAGCAGTGGGGAGACAAATTTAGCATTTTGGGATATCCATAAAAGAGTGATGAGAGCTCAAAGAATTGTCTGACGTGAAGTTATTCATGCCATTCCCACGTGCCACGGGCAATTAAGGGTGGACTATCTGAGAGAATAACCAGTGTGGGAGCCGACTACCCCAAAACCACAACGCGAAGTGAAGCTCGCTAAAATGTGTCCAGGAAGTGACTCGAAGAAATCTTTTAGAAAAAAAAAATATATCATAGAGGATATAGTTGCTCAATTGGTTACTTGGAATAAACTTCCCAGGGAACTTTCTCAGGTGACGTTTTAACAACGCCTTTCTGAGTCGGGAGACCCGGTCCGCAGGGAGGTTTTTCGGAGGGTGATCAGCTAGTGATGGTTACCAACTATTATGCAGCGAAGCACGGCGTCCGACTTCTCAGGAACTTTCTGGGAAAGCAACGAGGATAAAAAACAAAGTGTGCGCTTCTGGGGCCCTCCTGAGTCTGTCATCCTCTCATGCCACGTGAGTCTGAAAAATAAAAACCCCCGACATCACCATTTGTTCCGGGACCTCCTAGGAGTCTGAGAAACCCCACAGCCCCATGAGTGGCTCTTAGGGAGGTGAGGAGCATGGCGCTACTCTCTTAGCTTATAAAAGGCACTCAGCTGAGTGGGCAGATTGGACCTCCTCGGGCAGTTTTTGTCACTTGCGCCACTGCTGACACCTTGGCCAGATACTTTGCTGGGGGGGTTGTTCTGTGCATTGTAGGATGTTTAACAGAATCCCTGGCTTTGACCCACCAGATGCCAGCAGCAACCCTGCCCCAAGTCGTGACAACCAAAATGTCTGCAGACATGGCCCGCGTCCCCGGGGACGGCAACCAGAGCCCGGAGTGACAGCGAAGAACTGCATGAGCCACAGCTGGTGCCACCGCCTCTCATTTCTCTTTCTTCCTCTCCTCGAATTCTTTTCATATTGGGTTCAAAAAGTGCGTGTGCCTATTTGCCTCCCAAAAGAGGACTTGATTAAAGGCAAAGGAACCTCCGGGTGGGAGGTTCTGTGAAACTGGGACGGTGCTGCTCCTTCCGAGCACCAGACAGGTGCCCCGGGAGGGCAGTGACAGCCAGCATCTCCGAACAAGCACGCGTTTGTGGACACAAGTCGACATTTCACTCCTGATTGGTGTCCAGGTGTAACATTTCATTTCAGATCTGTTAAACTATCTAAGTGGTTATTAATACCTCTTGCATCTCACAGATGAGGAAGGCGAGGCTTGGAGAGGTTCGACACCTCGTTCAAGATCACGCAGCTCAGGGCACTGCCGCCCTAAGGCCTCCCTTCATGGTGGTGCCGGCTGACGGCTCCAGCGTGCAAGGCACCCCCAGAGCCACATCGTGCGTGACTCGCACAGATGTGCAGCAGCCCCTGAGAACCAGCTGTGTCTGAACCCAGAGGACCCTTTCCACCCCATCCTCTGGGTACAGAGCGAGCGCCACTTGGCTAAACCCAGCCTCTGTGGAGCGCCAAGCTTGGAAATGACATTTCACCCTCTCCAGAGTCCGGTCCCAATTCTTGCACACCGTGGAGCTCAAGAAAAGGAAAGCCTGCTGCGCGGTGGGACACATTCAACATGAGCAGCGCAGGGGCCCTTAGAAGCTGCAAGTGGTGGCTCCAGGGATGCTGAGGGTCTTAAAACAGGAGCGTAAGCTAAGCTAGGTGGAAGGGGCTGGATGGCCACAGCCGTATCACGGGAGGGGAAGCCCCTCTCCATGTGGGTGTAACAGCCTCTTAACCGTTTAGAACCAATTCCTCCCTCTTTCCTCCCACGTTTCAAGCTTGTTTCAGATACCCCGAGAGACAGAGCGCTAGGGACGAGTTCCCTGACAACAGTTCACAGTTTCACCAACACCTGAAAACCTTCTGATGAGTGGGAAGTGGGTAGCTGGGGAGAGAATCAGGAAGGGAGGTAAACAATGCTTGCGGTAAACAATGTTTGCCTCTGCTCATGACTGGCTACGTAATTTGCAAGGCCTGGTTCAAGGTGAAAATGAGGGGTTTCTTGTTCAAATATGATTAAGATACTTAAGATGGCAACAGTGTTAAACCAAGCCCTGGAATGCTTCTGGGCGCAAGGCCCTGTATGTAGGCACAGGTCATGGGCCCAGGTAGACGCCTCCCGTGGAACATTTTGCCCACAAATGCTTGCTGGTCCTTTCCTCTGAGGCATCTGCTGCTGCTTCTGATGTCCCTACAGCATTTCCTTAATCTCAAGATGTTCCGTTTAGAAATACGTTCAGTCCTTGAAAACAAAAAAGCACTCCCTAACTGCCCTTATGTGACGCACTCGGACTCTCTGAAGATCAGGGTAAAAAAATAATAATAATTCAGGACACTACACTTCCCTTCCTCAGGAAGAGTGTGTGCAGGAAGCAACTCTGTGCTTAGACCTGAGGTTTAACTAACCCGTGTAAAGAGTAGAAAAGCTGTTAGCTGAAGAAGTTATGTGTTAGCATCAAAAAGGAAGAGAACCGGGCTTAGGACAGAGCTCAGTGGGCCGGGAGAGAAGTTCAAAGAGCTGTGGGCATATGTGGGGAAGACTGAGCCAGAGAGATTGAAAAGAGGATTTTAAGACATTTTGCTCAGTGATCATGAATTGGATCCTTTTGACTTTTTTAAATAAAAACTTAAATCGCTTTTCCAGTTATTTTTAGTTACAGGATATTATAAAAGCAACTATGCAGAGACAGGAACACATGGGGTCCCTGGTTAACCTGTGTTATATTTAAAAGCATCAGAGGCTCCTCTTGATGTAGATGGCAAATCAGTGGCACAACACAGGAAGAAAATCCATCTGCAGGATGGCAAATAGACACCTGCATTCCAGATTAAGTGACAAGTGCATTTGGTGGCAGAGAAATTGGAGGATTCTGATTGGTATAAAAAGGCCAGGTTTTTGACATGTATTTTTATTTACTTAGAAGTCATAGGAATGTTTGATGTAGGTTGAAAGAAGTATCTAAAGAATAATTCCAAAGGACGACTTTTATACTCCCCGTCTTGCACAAGAATGAAAATGTTTAAAGAAAACTTGGCATTGTTGAATTGTCATATGAATCAATGAATAAGCCAGAATGAATGTGGGTCTGACAGTACACAAAGAACCGCCCCCCAAAAAAGAGGTGACATGCTGTCCTTTCGCTGCTGAAGAAATGTGGGCCCACCCTTGCCAAACATGTGCAAAAGAAGCTTTTTCTGTGAACACTAATGTGTTTATTCATCTGTTTTAGAGGTCTGAGCTGGTGATAAGAGCTGGAACCGTAGATTTGATTTGAGATAAAAAGTTGATACTTCTCAAGATTATTAAACAAATAATTTTAGTACAGTGCCTGGCATTTACAGAAGTAAATGCTCAATAAATATTAGTACTAATTGTTTTTTTTTTTTAAGTACAGCTTCAAGTTGGAAACACTAGCTCATCTGACTTGTTGACTGGCAGTGGTGCTGATATCTCTGCAATAACACTCTTTTTTAAAAACAGCTTTAAAAGATGTGACTCACATACAATTCACCTACTTTACAGTATACAATTCAATGGCTTTCAATACACCCAGAGCTGGGCAACCATCGCCACAAAAAGAACTCTACAGCCCTTAGCTTTCACCTCCCCATCTCCCCACTCCCCTCCAACACACACACAGCTCTAAGGCAATCACTAATCGACTTTCCGTCTCTATGCATTTGCCTGTTCTGGACATTTCATGGAAACAGAATCATATAATACGTGGTTCCCTGTGTCTAGCTTCTTTCTCTGAGCAGAACGTGTTCAAGGTTCATCTGTGTTGTGGCATGCATCCGCACCTCAGTCCTGTTCATGGCTGTTCCGCAATCCTTCTTAGAACAGCTGTTGGGGCAGAGGGGTGACTACCTTGGCACCCCACATTCCTGAGAGACGAACCCAGATGAGAAAGGTGGGGCAGGGAAGAAGCTCTCATGGCTGAAAAACTCTCCTGACCAGTAAGTATCATAAGACTGTGGGCCAAGCCCAGGCATTGTCACTTGCCAGGGACAAATCTACATCCAGCTCTGACACTTACCTGGTTGAAGGATTGAGCCTGTTGCCTTATTTGTAGAAGGAGATAATGTTAATTTTCTAAGAATTACAATAATGTATGTAAATGGCGTAGGAAGAAGCCGTTACATAATTGATTGTCAAGATGAAAAGTCTTTAGACTTTAAGACTTCACTTGTTTCATTAATTTCCTTCCTTGCTATGAGTTACCACAATGATTTTTTTAAAAAGTGATATACCAAAAAATGTCTAAAAATCTCCCCTGCTATAATATTCACCTGTAATGGTAATTTACAAGACATGATGCCTCCCACCCCCTTTCCCAGGGTCCACTGCTGTGAATGGAGAGGGAAAAAAGGACAAATCAAGCTGTCCAGAGCTGGGGTGCCACTGAGGACTTTATTTATGTGTCATCTATGACTCCTCCCCAGGTGACGACTTCCTGACAGTGAAGTCCCACACATTACGACACTGACAAACACACCATTTGACTCACGGCTCAGTCACCACAGACATGGAGCACTGACTACAAAGCAGAGGACAGTTAAGTCGGGCTGTGGTTCATGTTTCATGGCTCCTCCAAAGGTGAGAACCCTTGAAGACAGACTTATCGTTCTCTGCTAGAGCTGGGTAACCAATATCGGATTGCCGATACTGACAGAGGGCGCCGGGGTGGGACTCACAGACAGCCTCAGAGAGATAACACGTTCACTGGGAAGAACATAAGATTCGCATGTTTTCGTTTTTTAACTGTGAGGTTCAGGACAAGTCGCTTTGCTTTTCAAAAAAATTTTTTTAATCTTTAATGATACAGATCTTAAATGCATACATTCATATTCTTTAAAATACATATAAAGGTAAAGTCTCCCATAAGCATCATTATTCCTCTATCTCAGTACTTTCCCAAGCGTAAGTGCTGTCCTTTCAGGCATCTTTCTACCCATTTACTTATGTAGTCATTTAAATATATAAATACACACACACACACACACACACACACACATATGTATATATAATTTTGTTGTATGTGTAGCATTAAATTGTATGTACTTGTCATGCAGTTGGTTTATCTTACTTAATAGTAAGTTTTGCCCATCTTACAAGATCAAGCCAATCCATAAAGGGCTGTATCATTTTAAAAAAACTGCTCCATGATATCAACACTGCATGGCAAGGCAATATCATATTTAATCTGTCTGTTCTTGTATGGATGACGTATACCTTGGCTGAAGATTTTTATTCTGACAAATGTGTCCAAAAAAACATTCTGACACATGCCTGCTTGGGTACATAAGTGGTTCTCTAAATACCAAGAAATGGAATTGCTGGATAAAAGCGTATTCACATATTACATGTTGATAGATATTCCAAAATTGGCAGAGTCCTTAGCAGAATAGCAGAAGGATGTGGTGACGAAGGGCCCAATTTCTGGGCTCAAATCTTAGCTCTGTCACTAATTATCTTATCTCCTCTCTGCCTCACTTTCTTCATCTGTAAAACTAACATAGTAGCAGTAACAAGTTCATTTGATTATTAGGAAAATTAAGCTCTTCTGAATAGCATAGCAAGCACTATCTAAATGTTAGCTGCTACCAGGAGCTTTGGGTTTAATATCAACAAAATGACAAATATATCTTCCTCTAGAGTTGGGGGAGAACAGGTAAGAGGT